CATTAAGGAAACCTAGTTTAATTTTCTATTAAATTAAACCCAAATTTAAATGAGCTCATCATCAGAACAAAGGTTTCTTAATTCTTACTAGAAAAAAATCATTCTGTGGAACTTGTGTATAAGGAAGAGATGAACCAGCTAGAATAAACACACATCATAGAGGTAAGGAACAATACAGTAAACTGTGTCACATTTCCTGGGTTAGCTTCCCTGAAAAATATTCATTTGGGAAGAATGGTTAGTTGAAGACACTCAAAAGTCTCAAACTACATTTGGTAGTCAAAAATTATGCTAGGTGATAGCTCCAAACACATCATCCATTATCTGTAAGAACAATAATTAACAATTAAAATCAGTACAATAATAGCGAAACTTGAGTAGCTTTACTTGCATACTTACAGTATCTGCTTTAAGTACTTTTTATGCATTAATTCATTTAATTATAATTCTATGAGATAAGTAAAATGTTTAGCCTTGTTTTATTGAAGAGAAATGTGGGGTTCAGAGAGGTTAAGTAACATATACAAGCTATATAACTAGTAGATGAGGGAGCTTAGATTCAAAACCTCACAGTCTAACTAGAACCCTTGCTTTCAACCTCTGGACTACCACCTTACAACAAAAACCATTATCATCTTCCCTTTGTACAGTTTTTTATTAATAGTTAACCAAAAGCTTTCACAAGTGAGACTCAGAAAACTAGATCTAGTATAATGACAAGATACTTAGGTAGAAAGGTATTCATATCCCGTTACACAGTTTTAGGAAAAGATCAGCCAATAGAAAGAACTCCCAATCCTACACAATCTGTATCTCCTAATCCCAGAGCTCAGTGGAGAATTCAGTTAATAGCTCTGTGTCATATGGCAACTTGCCAGCTATACATTTGAAGAGAAACATGTCTCCACCTGAATGGCAACATTCCTGCAAACCACTCATTCCTTCAATAAATATGTGTTCAATTCCAGGTAAAGATGGGAGAGAGCAAAAGCAATTCTATTCCACTAACCTTCCTCAATACTAAAAGCAAAAATAGAAGGCAGGAGGAGCATGAAGGAAATGATTATGATCTCAAACCATTAACTACAAAACATACTTGCCAAATCTGTTAAATTGTGGAGTGATACCAAGGAAGTCTGGTAGGCTTTGACCAGGAAACGGATTTCCCTAAACATAAAGATCACAGACGTGAAATGCAGATCCAACTATCCTTTGATTAGAAAGGGACTACCCAGGTGTGCAAATAAAACAAAGGAGTAGGGGACACTGTAGAGACCCCGAACAGCAGGAGGAGAAAAAATAAAGAAAAAATAATATGACACATTCTTAGATTTAGGACACTCTTGGATATCGAAGGGTTATCTGCACTCCCATGTTTATTGCAGCACTATTCACAATAGCCAGTATCTATCAACAAACAAATGGATACAGAAAATGCGGTACATATACACAATGGAGTTCTATTTGGCCATAAGAAAGAATGAGTTCCTGTCATTTGCAACAAGATGGATGGAAATGGAGGTCATTATGGTAAGCGAAATAAGCCCGCAAAAGAAAGACAGACTTCACATGTTCTCATTCATTTGTGGAAGCTAAAAATTAAAACAACTGAACTCATGGAGACAGAGAGTAGAAGGATGATTATCAGAGGCTGGGAAGGGTAGTGGAGGGTGATTATAGTAAAAAATAATTTTACTGTACATTAAAAATAATTAAAAGAGTATAACTGGATTGTTTGTAACACAAAAGATAAATGTTTGAGGTGACAAATACTCCATCTACCCTGATGTGATTAATATACATTGCATACCTATATCAAAATATCTCATGTAATCCATAAATACATACACTTACTAGGTACCCACAAAAATCAAAAATTAAAAGACTACCTGAAAATGTATCACAGACCTAAAAGTAAAACCCAAAACTATAACACCAGAAGCAAAGAGGTGTGACCTTGGGTTAGGCAAACATTTCTTAGATATAGCAAAAGCACAATCTATAAAAGAAAAAATGATAAATTAGAATTCAAAGTTTAAAACTGTTGCTCAAGGAAATGTGAATTCTATCTCAATAAAAGTATTAAAGAGAGAAAGAGGATGCTAAGAAAATGAAAATACAAGCCACAGGCTGGGAGAAAGGATTTCTAAATCATATATCTAAAAGGACTTACGGCCGGGCACAGTGGCTCATGCCTGTAATCCTAGCACCTTGGGAGGCTAAGGCAGGCAGATTACTTGAGGTCAGGAATTCAAAACCAGCCTGGCTAACATGGTGAAACTCTGTCTCTACTAAAAATAAAATAAAATACAAAATTAGCCAGGCATGGTGGTGGGCACCTGTAATCCCAGCTACTCGGAAGGCTGAGGCAGGAGAATCGTTTGAACTCAGGAGGCAGAGGTTACAGTGAGCCGAGATTGCACCATTGCACTCCAGCCTGGGAAACAAGAGCAAAACTCCGTCGCAAAATAAAATAAAATAAAAGCACTTATATCCCAAACATATAAGGAACTCTTACAACCCAATAACTAAAAGCCCAATTAAAAACAAGATTTGAACAGATAATCCACAAAAGAAGACATATGGATGATAAAATAGACACATGAAAATATGTTTAACATTTTTAGTCATCAGATGAAATGCAAATAAAAACTATAATATGATACCATCACACATAGTTAAATGGCTAAAATTAAAAAGACTGACAAAACCAACTATTAGTGAAGTTGTGCAGCAACTGGAATGTTGCTAATGGGAATGTAACACAATACAGCCACCTGGAGAAACAGTTTGGCAATTTCTTAAAAAGTTAAAATATATACCTACCACATAATCCAGCCATTCCACTCTTAGTTGTTTACCTAAGAGATGAAAGCTTATGTACACACAAAAACCTGTACGTGAATGTCCAAAGCAAACTTATTCCTAATAGTCTAAAACTTGAAACAACCCAAATGCCCCTCAACAGCTGAATGGATAAACTGTGGTATATCCACACAATGGGATATCATTCAGCAATAAAAAGAAATGAATTAATGATACACAGGAACGCAGACAAATCTCAAAATAATTATGTAGAGTAAAAGAGACCACATAGAGCACAAACTACGTGAGTTCACTTACAAAAAGACCTGCAAATTAACCTATAATGACAAGAAAGAAAGCAAGAAAATTCAAACTACTCTATAAGGACCAAAGACAAGTTAATGAGTATACCTCGGGATGGGTGAGGAGGGGTGGAGGTGGGGAGAAATTATGAAAATGCACAAGGAAACCTTTGGGGTGAATATGTTTATTTTCTTAATTTTGGTGATAGTTTCCTAATTGTGTATTTATCAAAATCTATCAAATTATTCTCTAACCATAGGCAGTTTATTATACACCAATTACATCTCAATAAAACTGTTAAAACTCTCAAGAAGCCTAATGTTTAAATGAAACAAAACTACCAGTAAAGGTTATGTTATACTTTATGAAATATATTTTAAGCAAAAGACTCAACGGTCTGAATATTTTCTACTCATTGTAAATTTACAGCATTTGAGACTATCTATACAGCAACACATAAATAAACCAAAGAGACACTTTGCTGCTTTTTTTCTCTGCTTATATGGCATGCTTTAGTAAAGTATTTTCAAATAGAATCCTGGGTAAACCTATGGTTACCAAGTTCTATACTACCAATAATTTTGTAAAGGGCAATTCCAGCAAACTTAAGATTACTTGACTACATTTGATTGTTTCGTAGGTGTTCTTCTTTTTAAGATTCTTACACTTAGTTCCTTAAAGGATCACTGTAATGGAAAGATTAGTAATTTTGGCCCCCAGGGAATCTTTTGGTGTTAAGAATTATGAAGTTACTTCTATATTTTGCCAATGTACTATACAAGTCTATTATTTATTCATTCGTTCAAAAAATTAATTTATAACTGCATGCTATGTAGCCAGGCACTAGTCTAGGTCTTTGTGACATATTTGGGGGAAGGGAAGAAGATGACAGACAATAATAATCTTAATAAATAAATGTATATTGTACATAATATAGAAGACGATATGCACTCTATCACCCTCCCCTCCCCACCACACACACTCCAACATGTACAGCAGATTATGAAGGATCAGTAATGGAAACTAAATATAATAAAAACTCTAAAGTAATGAGAATTGTTTCCATAGACCATATGTGAAAATCTTACACTGAATAGAATCATGAACCAAGATTGCCTAGTCCAACCCTCACACTTTACAGATGATGTTAAATGATTTGCTCCATCACTCAGTTCTTGGCATAAAGATTAGGATCCCTATCTCCTTTTCACTCACTGGCATCACTATTTGTGATGTCAAATAATCATGATAAAAATGCTTTCATCTATTCATATACAAACAGTGGAAAGAGCTTTAGAGTCTGACTGACCCAGGCTTCATCACTCCATGGCTTTGTTACTTATGGTAAATTACTTAACCTCTCAAAATGTAAATTTTCTCATCTATAAAAGTGAATGACAATTTTTGTTTGCTTGTTTGGACTAATGTGCATGCGATAACAAGAATGACAATAATTTCATGACTAGGTTGTTATAAGGATTAAATATAGTAGCTTATGTAAAATACCTACATGTCAGTACACAAATATATAACATTGCAATACTTACATGCTTGCACCAAAAATGGTACATCATATGCATGAGTTTTTTATATCCTCTACTAGACTATAAACTCGATATATATCTAAAGTACCTAGCATAATGTAAATGTTCAGTAAGAATTTGTTAATTTGTTAATACTTCTGAGGAGTCAAACAGCTTTCAAAATGTGGCAAACAGTATGATAACTCATACCATGATGTAAATAATCGAATTAACTGAAAGCTCCATAGTACGCTTCAACATGTTTTCAGTCTGTCTTTCCTAAACAGAGAAGTCTGTAGCACTTAAATGCTTTTTAATGTCATAAATTATGGTCCTAGCTCTTTCTGTCCACAAGAAAATAATTCTCACCATGAAAAATACTTTCAAGAGAAAACCAAAAAGATCTTCAGCATTTTACACTACTTCTTTTCACGTTCATCCCTTGGTTCCTGTATTTGCAGCTATAATTGGAAAGAAAAAGAAAGCAGAATGCAATTCCAGTGCCATCACAGCAACTCGGCAGCTTCTTCAAATTTATAATCAACATTTTAGCTGACAAGAGCAAAAATACCACAAACTGAACAAAGGATAAAATAATTCAAGTTGATAAGATTGTTTGGTGCCATGGACACCACGTTTTCCAAATGATTATATATTTCAATTTAGTTTCCAATGCAAAAACAGGAAGATTACTCTGTAAAAACACTCCCTTCCCCCACTGTAATATTAATCCCCACCCCCTATATCCCATCCATGGTCTCTTGGGTATCAAAGGGAAACAACCATCCTGAAGCATGAGATAATTAAATCACAATTCACAGAATAATACGTCAAAGTCTCTCAGATTCAAGACAGGTTATGCCGATTCAGTTCTAAAAAGGTAACAGAAGAATGCTGCATCCTATTCTTTTGAATAAAGATATCCTTGCAATGCTGGATGTTAAAACCTTTGTTCTAAAGCTAAGCAATTAAGGTACGGGTTTTCAAAACTAGGAATTTTCTTCCTTAGGTCAAATTAGGTTTTTTAAAACATGATAAAAATCCTAAAAGCTATTGTGAGAAATAATAATGAAGAATGTAAAAATATCCTTTTCCTTTTTATTTTATTAAATAAATAGCTTTCACTGAAGCTATTTTTCTACCATTTTGCTCCATTTTATACACGACCCAGAAAACAAAGACTGCTGTAGATTACCTGGATCACCGGACAAATCAGCAGACAAGCAAAAGCTCAAAAGGCTCGTTTCCATGGAGTAGAAGAAAATGAAATCCTCACCAAAATACCACTCCCTTAGCAATCCTAAGCTTTTTCTTTACATATACATTCAATATCCTTGGAAAGGCATTTGTCAGATGATTTTACTGACCACAAGAGGGATGGTAAGAAGAAACCCCACCTCTTCTCCCACCCCCAATCATCTACCATCACCATCCAAAGCCCAACACTGCGCTGCTAATGGAAAGACAGAGAACAGCATCCATGTACATTTCCCTAGAATAACACTCAGGAAAATATACATAATATAAAGCAAGGATTTGGCTAATTCTTTAGCAGAACAGGCCAAATAGCTCCCATAAAATTAAAAATACTTGCAAAAAAGATTCAATTATAAAGCCACAAAAAAACCCCTAATTTTCTTCTTGAATACAGTATGATTTTTAAATTGGGAATTTCCCAAATACAGTGCCAAAAAATGGAGTCCCTCAAATACCTTAAAATTCAGTTGTTGTTACTGCTCCTTTTCGTAAAGCCAGATAAACCAAATAAGTTAGGATTTACCAAAAAAAAAAAAAAAAAAAAATCTTTTGTTGGTAGTATTACCCCTTCAAAGAAAATCTGGGACAGGAGGTGGGAGTAAAGGAGAAACAGATTTAAAACATGGGGGGAGGAAAAATATTTTCTGCCCCAATAAGCCTAATTAAGTCTGTAAGCAAGACTGGGAGGATTGAAATTTCTTCATGCTACTCTGTCTGTTTGTGTTTGATTACTGTGAATCTTCCCAGGTCTCAAACTATGCCCTAGGCATTATGTCTGGCATTCTGTTAACTATAGCAGCCTGGCCACTTACAGTAGAATGAGGGAGGAACAAGAGACAGACTCATGCAATCTAATCCCTAGAAGCCATGTAATTTTGCTAAAACAATAATTTGCCTCAAACACTGCTCTAAAAAATGCACTGCTATACTAAGAAGACTCAACCTCTACTTTCCTTTTCTGAAGCATCAACCCAACTTGACAATTTGCAGGCACACAATTTCTGGGATCAATATATAAGTAATGAATGAAAAACATGTTGTTTTATAAAACATACTCCTTAAAACATTTGAATATATCTAATTTATAATAGTTAAATCCCAGTAATCACTTTATCCACATAAATTATAGCTCAAGGTTCTGTGAATTTTGAAGGAACTCACAGAACCTCACAACTACAGTTAGTGATCTATGAAGAATCAGCTTCCAGGGAACACATACCTTGGCAAAAGTAGTCAAAAAATATATATTATATATAGGTACAGGTATAATATATATATTACACAAAGGTATAGATATGTATTTAAAAGGTTCTATATATCTTCTAAACTATAGACTAATGATTCTCACATGGAATGAAAGAACAAATTTATCGAACCCTGTAAGCAGTTACTAAAGAAGTAGTTACTGATCAAGACAATAGTCTAGATTTGCTAAAAACAAGGCAGACTAGACTACTGCCTGCCGCTATCATTACACTTCCTCCACCTATACCGAGGTCTCACATTTCTCTGATGCTTGGCACTTTCTGACCAGCCCAAGGGTCCTAAGAAACACTAAGCTCCCCATATGTCAAAGCCTGTGTTGGCTGATGAGGCAATTTCTCACAAAGGACAGCTTAGAACTTGAAGCCAACTAATTTCATGTCTCAACATCGCTATCATCCTAGATCACCAAACAAAACTTTAGTCATACATTAATCATGTGACATCTCTCCTCCAAAAAAATCTTCCACTGTTCCCCTCTCTATCAAACTTTTTCACTGTGTACTCTAGGACAGGAGTCTCCAACTCCTGGGCTGCAGACAATACCGGTCCATGATCTGTTAGGAACCAGGTCACACAGCAGGTGGTGAGCAAGTGAAGCTTCAGCTGTATTTACAGCTGCTCCCCATTACTCACATTACCACCTGAGCCCCACTTCCTGTCAGATCAGTGGCGGCATTAGATTCTCAGAGGAGCAGGAACCCTATAGCGAACATGAGAGGGATCTAGGTTGCACGCTCCTTATGAAAATCTAATGCTTGATGATCTGTCACTGTTTCCCATCACCCACAGATGGGACCGTCAAGTTGCAAGAAAACAAGCTCAGGGTTCCCACTGATTCTACATTATGGTGAGTATATAATTATTTCATTATATATTACAATGTAATAATAATCAAAATAAGGTAGACAATAAATGTAATGCGCTTGAATCACCCTGAAACCATCCCACTACCTGTCCTCCCCCGATCACCCTCCTAGTCCCACTGAAAAACTGTCTACAACAAAACTGGTCCCTGGTGCCAAAAAAGTCGGGGACCGCTGCTCTAGGACTCTTTCCACAAGAAACCAAATACCACTACACTCTTAACTTCATAGAATGCACTCCAAACGCTGCCTTAACCAACACCTCGCTCTCCCGCAAAGACACTGTTTCCCTTACTGCCTTTTCTTTCTTTTTTTTTTTTTTTTTTCCTGAGACGGAGTCTGGCTCTGTCACCCAGGCTGGATGGAGTGCAGTGGCCTGATCTCCGCTCATCAAGCCCCGCCTCCTGGGTTTGCACCATTCTTCTGCCTCAGCCTCCTGAGTAGCTGGGACCACAGGCACCCGCCACCATGCCCAGCTAATTTTTTGTATTTTTAGTAGAAATGGGGTTTCACCGTGTTAGCCAGGATGGTCTCAATCTTCTGACCTCGTAATCCACCCGCCTCGGCCTCCCAAAGTGCTGGGATTGATTACAGGCGTGAACCACTGCGCCTAGCCCCCTTACTGCCTTTTCTAATGGAAGCCACCCCTTATTCCAAATCCCAATGCTTTCAGAGGCCAGAGGAAATTTACAATTTTCTTAATTTTTCTGACTATCCAAATAACCAATGCATATATAAAAAGGTGCTCAACTTTAAGGAAATGTAAATTAAAACCACAATGAGAGAGAGAGAAATAGAATGAACGAATATATACAGTACTTATGAAGATATAAAGCACCTAGAAACTACATCCACTGATCAGAATATAAATTGGTACAATCACTCCAGAAAAGTATTAGGTAAAATCAGCTAAAGCTGAACTAGCAAATTCCACAAGTAGGCAGAAATGTGTATGTATGTTCACAAAAAGACATGTCCGTGAAGGTTCCCAAATAGCACTGTTAGTAATAATACCAAACTAGAACTACCTAAATGTCCATCTGCAGTAGAATGGATTTTTAAAACTGCCATATACTCATACATTAGAATATTAGTCAATAATGCAAATGAATTGTGACCACTCTATACAGATAAATGTCATAAACAATTCAAAAGAAAGACACTAGATTAGAAAAGAGCACATACTGCACGACTCCATTTCTATAAAGAACAAAAGCAGTCGAAAGTTAAACACGAGTTACCATACGACCTACAATCACACTCTTAGGTATTTACACAAGGGACTTGAAAACTTATATCCACACAAAAACCTGGTCATGGACATTTACAGCAGCTTTACTCCCAATGCTAAAAACTGAAAGCAACTAACAATGGCCTTTAATGGGGGAATGAAAAAACAAATTATGATTCATCCACACAATGGAATACTACAACATTTTTTAAAACAAATGAACTATTAATTTACACAACATGGATGAATCCTAAATACATTTTACTACATGAAAGAAGCCTGATACAATCTTTGGATTTTTCATGCATTTTACTACATGGAAAAATCCAAAGACTGTATCATTTCATTTATACAACACTCTGGAAAATGCAGAAGTAGAGAGAGAGAAAATAGATTAGTAGTTGCTAGAGACTAGAGGAGAGGAGAGTGTTTGACTACAAAGGGGATGCACAGGAGGACAATTAGGGTGCAGGATCTGCTCTGTATATTAGGGTGGTGAATACATGACCCATTGCATTTGTCTGAACCCACAGAACGGCATAGGACAAAGAGTGAACTTCAACAAATGTTAACCAAACAACAACCACTAACATCAACCAAAATGTCAGAAGATCCCAAGATGAAATGTGGATTGCAACAAATGAAGCTAACTGCATTATAAATGTATGACATAACTTCACTGAAGGGGTGGTGAAAAAGGAGCTAACCTAACAAACTTTGGAACACGGTGTTTTGACTTGAAATTGTAAGGCTAATGACAAAAGAAATTGTACATAAATACTGTACTCATGGGGTTTGGGGTAATAATTCTAAATTTGCTTTTCATGTGTACATGGGTTGAACAAATAAGTGAATGGATAATGGGGTGGCTGGAGCCAGGTTTCTCATGGTTGGACAAGGAAGTCACAGATTAACAAGAAACGAGGACTAGAGTGAACCTTGTGGTACTGGATTATAATCAGAGACATCAATATCAACTCGTTTAACTTAACATATATGCAAACTGATACATATAGAAACAATTAAGAGATGTATGTGTATACATGGGTTAGTATACACACAGATATTACCTAGCTCTGTCCCCTGAGAGGGCCTAAAAGCAATGATACTCCAATAGCAATGAGCACACCTAGTAACTACATTTTGGTTCCTAAATAAAAGGAATGCTAGTTCCTTCAAATGGCTGATTCTACAGCTGGCGCAAAGAGAATACAAGATGAGCCTGGAGCATCTTATAGTACATCAGGAGATGTTCAAAAAACAAGAGAGACATAAACACTAACTGGAAAACCTTCCCAATAGTCAAAGTTGGAACAATTTAAGCAAAAGAAAAGAAACCTAGCATTAGAACTCAAAGTAGAGAATAAACATACATGAGTCCATACTGATATAAATGACTGAATAAACAGAGAAATGTGGGGAAAGATCCAAATCTTCCTTACAGAATAATTTCAAACCATATATGTAGATATCTCTCCCTTCCCAAAGTGCGAGTTGGACTAACAGAGAATAGTGAAGAAACCTAGCAAACACTATCTCAACCAAGTGGTCATGGTTAACATCACCAGTGATGCCACGTGGACATCATGCACACCTGATGAGAGGAAAAGGGGATTCTTTCCAAAAACACATAACCCAGTCTAATACTCAGAAACAGCAGCAAACCCAGACTGGGGGACATTCTACAAAGTCCTCAGGGATGGCAAGGTCGTGACAAACAAGGAAAAACTGAGAAACTGTCACAAACCAAGAGACTGGGGAAACATGAAAACTATAAGCAATGTGGTATTCTAAAATTTGATCCTAGAACAGAAAGAAGTCATTAATGAAAAAGCAGGAAAAATCCAAACGAAGTATGAAGTTTACTTAAAAGTAATATACTGAGGTCAGTTTCTTAGTTTTGACAGATAATACCACCATAACGTAAGATGTCAGCAATAAGGAAAACTAGGTGTGGGGTATGGGAACTCTATGTGAGATTTCCCATATTTGTGCAACTTTTCTCTAAATAAAAAATTAATCCAAAAAAAGTTTAAGGATTAATCTATGGTACTACAAGTCAGAATAGTGGGTACTCTCAGGGGGCAGTGAATTTAATTGCTTGTTGAAAAACATTTCCACAAAGAAAACTCACTTCACTGGTGAATTATCACAAGCATTTAAAGGAAGAGATAACAATTCTACACATGACAAATGAAAGTGAAAACACATGACACTTCCCAAAAAATTTTCTGAGGCCAACATTGTCTCAGTATCAAAACAAGGCAATGACATTACAAGAAAACTGAACACAAATATCCCTTGGGAACAAAGGAACAAGAACAATCATCAAAATATTAGTAAACCAAATCTATCAATAAATAAAAAGAATAATACATAATACATAATAAAGAGACCATTAGGATAAACCAAATGGGGTTTATCCTAAGAATGCCAGGTAGGTTTAACACTCAAAAATCAATGTAATTCACTGTATCACCAGTCTAAGAAAGAAAAGCCTCAGATGAAAATACCTCCTGGCAAATTAAAAAAAGAAAAAGAAAAAAGAAAAGCCATATGATCATCTAAACAGATACAGAAACAGCATATGACTAAATTCAGTATCTGTTAATTATAACATTTCGTACAAGCTAGGAATAGAAGGTAACTTCTCCAAACTGATAAAGAGTACGGAAAAAAAATTCATACTTAACGATAAAATACTGAATGCTTTCCATAAGATTGAGAACAATGCAAAGATGTCTACATGTCTGCTTTCACCGCTTCTTTTAACATTTTAGCCAAATAAGTAAGACAGTGAAAATAAATATATAAA